CACCCGTCCTCCGGTGACGCACGGGCAGCACCGAGGCCCTCTCCCTGCGTGCTCCGAGTGGCTTCTGCTTTGACAGAAGAGCGAGTAAAACGGGCAGGTCCCACATAGACAAAGACGGCAGCCATGGACTTCCCGCCCGTCTAAGCGAGAAAACGTTTCCAAGCTGGGCGCCAACGTCCACCCGGGCTCACACACAACTGGCTTCCCTACCACAGGGGGAAGAGGAAACGGTGCCGCGGTGTCGCCGCCGCCTGCCAACGCCCAGTTACGCGCACACACACCTGCTCGTGCACGAGCGCTCACGGACACTGAGCCACGCGTGTCCTCTCCTCAGGGGGCACTGCCACCCCGTCACCACGGCTGCGGACGAGGCGTCCTCTCGCTTCTTGCTGGTGATCACAGGGACGCCCCGGAACGGCCGGGTGCTCCTCTGTGCCCGTTTTCCGACCCTTCCACGAACACACACACACTGTGCGCATTCTCTGCCTGCTTTTGTGCACTTCCTTTTTATAATAATTTTCAAATGTATTATTATTTAATTTGCCATAGGGCATGTGGGCTCACCAGATAGACAGTGAGAGAGGAAAAGTGACAAAGCCAGTTGCCAGGTCTGGGACTCGAACCACAGACCGTCACGTGGGAGTCCAGCGCCTCACCCCTGCACCTGCTGGCTCCACCAGCTCCGTCTTATCTGAGCTCCCTGGGTCCTGAGGGGAAACTGGGACGTGGCACTTCACTGCTGGACGGCAGCCCGCCTGCGGCGCAGAGGGAGGGCCGTGGACTCTACCGGGGTCCCCTCGGGCACCAGCACCTTCACCAGCTAATGCCAAAACCATCTCCACAGTGGCTGTGCCAGAGGACGGCCCCTCCAGCACAGGAAGCAAGTCCTGGTGCCCGGGGCCTCTCCTCACGATGAACATGTAGTACTCGGGGTGCTCGAAATTTTCACAGGAAATGCACTTTATAGGGACCAGCAGGTGGCGTGGGGGTTAAGGCGCTGGACCCTCCCACATGGCCGACCATGGTTTGAGTCCTGAACCTGGTGGCTTGCTTTCTCGCTTTCTCCCTCCCTCTCTCTGGTCAAAATAAATGAATGAATAAATAAAATAAAATAAAATTTAAAAATGCACATTATAAGAAAATGACTCATGTATTTTTTTTTTTTTTTGCACTAAACTAAACATGTACTTTAATTCCACTTCTCCACAGGCTTCAAGTCCTCCCATGTTATTATCCTGTTGTCGGCTAGAGGGCACACGCACTAGTGGGGCGGGAAGGAGAAGCACGCTGGTGGCCCGGTCACCCTGCCACCCCTTCTCCATTTCTCCCTTTTTGGGATTTTGGGAATGCCTACGTTCCTGACTTGGTTTTCAAGCTGCTGGGTACAGTACTCGAACCACAGTCTGCCACGTGGGATCCGGCTGCCCCATCTTCTCGGGTGTGGATCTGGTGGGTGTTGACGCGCACCTCCTCGTTCCCGACGGTGAGCTGTGCATCATTTCAAGGCCGAGCCGCTGCTGCCTCCCCTGGAGCTCTTCCCCACCTTCCTTCTGCGGGGCTTCCTCTTCTGACACACCGCCGACCCCACAGCAGGGACCGCGCGGCCCACCTGTCTCCCTCCGGCCCGAGTCTTTGTATTTATTACTGGGCTCCTGTTCTGGGCCACTGCCCCTTCCTCTACCCCATCCCTGCATGTTTTCAGTTATCCTTAATCATTTTTTTAAAGTTATCGCAAGAAGGTGCGTGTACTCACCAGAGAAAGGAAAAACCCTCCCCATCAGGCAGGCCACTCGGCAATGCCTTTTCCTCTTTCCTCCATCTCTCCATCCCATCGGGATTCCGGGCATGCGCGCACGTGCGCACACACACACACGCACACACACACACGCACACACACACACGCACACACACACACGCACACACACACACGCACACACACACACGCACACACACACACGCACACACACACACGCACACACACACACGCACACACACACACGCACACACACACACGCACACACACACACGCACACACACACACGCACACACACACACGCACACACACACACGCACACACACACACGCACACACACACACGCACACACACACACGCACACACACACACGCACACACACACGCACACACGCCCAGTGATTTTTTCAGGCCACTGGAGTATCTCATACTTCTTTTCTGTCATTACTGTTAGCTTGTTCCTTCTGTGACAGCAAGAGGGAGAGAGACACAGAAACAGAGAGCACCCTTCGCAGTCTGGAGCCCCAGACTGGGGGCAAGTGTGTGCCCAGAGAACTCAGGGAAGTCTCCAGGCGTGAATCGAGAACCTTTCCGGGCCACGGCCTCGCAGAGCATGGTGTTTTAGGACCACACCGCCACCAGCGGGCTCCGGGATTCCTGACAGCCGGAACAGTAACCCTTACCTTGCTTCTTGCCTATTCCCGGTCTCTGCCCTCCATGTTCAGCTCAAAATCATCTTGCCAATTCAAAAGAAAAATCCAAAAAACAAACAAAAACCTTGTTGAGATCTTTCCCAGAATCACACTGAATTTGAACCCGTTTACGAAAGTGTCAACACGGTGTTTTTATCCAAACCCAAATCTTGCAGCATCTCTGCAGTTACGTTTGGTTATTGTTACTAGTTAGAAATAAGTGATTTACACAATTTCTGTAAGATTTATTCCTAAGAACTTGGTATTATTCCTACAAACTGCTATCTTTTTATTTTGATTTATTTGTTTTAGATTCTTTTTTCTATAGGGCATATGCACTGGTTGGAGACAGACAGAAAGTGAGAAATCACCCTCCCGGGGGCGATGCCCACACCACGACCCCTTCTCCGTTCTCCTCTCAGGATTTTAAGCACACACTCACACACACTCAGCGTGTCTTTAAGGCGCTGAGTCTAGGACTCGAACCACCATCGGCTATATGGGAGTCCAGTTACATAACCATTATGCCATCTGCTGGTCTTTATATTTTTAACTTTTTTTTTTTTTTAGAATTTCTTGCTAGAGTCTATGTACTCACTAGAAAGAGAGAGAGACAACGTGAGAAATCATTCCCTCAGGGATAGGGGACGGCTACACTTCAATGCCTTCTCCTCCATTCTTGTCTCAGGATTTTGGGCACACAGGCACACACGTTCAGCCTGTCTTTCGTGTCACCGGGTCTGGGACTTGAACGACAGTTGGACATGTGAGATCCAGCTGCTTTAACCTCCATGCTACCTGCTGGCCCCAAACTGGCATCTTTAAAATTTTTCATAATTTTAAAAGTATTATGAAAAAGAACAATTTCATTTTGTATGGTTTTTGTATCCACCAATCTTGCTAAACTCTTAATTCTAATAATTGGAAATGATTTAACTTTATTTTTAAAAAAAATCTTACCAGAGAGAGAGAGAGAAAGTGAGAAAGCAAACTGTCAAGTCTGGGACTCGACCACATGGGAGTCCAGCGGCCACCATGCCACCTGCCGGCCCCAATTGGAAATTATTCTAATCACTGATTCTAGCAATAATTCTTTACGATAGAGGGTGTGTCTGTGTGCATGAGGTGAAGGGA